ATGAAAATTGGTCCAGCAGATCTCGAGTTATAAGTGCTGGAAAACTTTTCACAACACTCTTTTATATACATATATAGATTTGACAAAATTAAAAAAAAAAAATTAAAAATCATTCACAATAGCTATGTATACTGGCTTCTAGCTCTTGTACTTTAGGAGATACAAACAGATATACACGAGTAAGTGTTCCAAATTTCAAGTCTCTAGCTTTAATTGCGCCGAAATAAACTGCGTTCGCACGGACAGCATGACGGACATTTTACAAAACCAATCTACTTATTTCACTTTCGTGAATGAGTATAATAATAAAATCCAAGTCTCTAGCTCTTTTATCTTTTGAGATCGATGCCTTTAAGCATACGGACAGACGGACAGGGCTAAATCGACTCAGCTCGTCGTCCTGATCAAGAATATATACATACTTTGTGGGGTCTCCCACGCCTCTTTATGCCTGTTACATACATTTCAACAAAACCATATTACCTGATTTCCCATTTTCAATGGGTTAGGGTATACAAAAAAAATTTCCCTTTTATTGGAATGTGTGTGAGGTATAATACTGGTGCTTTTCGCATGGCATCTATATATTATTATAATGATGTTAGGTTAGGTTATAATAATACGGATACAATTTATTACACAATTTCTACAAACAAGACAGGGGTTATAATCCGAGCTAGAATATATGAATACGTATATACGTATCCTGGCCAAAGTTTGCGCGAACGATTTAACCCTGTGTATACTTTGAGGACCGCTCTCTTAGCAACCACTTTGCAACATTTTTTTCTCTTCCAGAATTCATTGAGTTATATCACAAATTACAAATATCTTGATGGACCCTTCCAAAACATATTCAAGTTCATTAAAATATTTACATAACTTAACTTTGATAAGGGCCCTTATGCATTCACCAAATTGAAAATTGTAATATACGTTTCGTTTGCTTTAATTAAATAAATCTGTATTTGAAGATCTCTCTCTCTTTCTTTCTCTCTATTTTTCTCTCACTCTCCCTATCTCTCTCTCTCTCTCTCATACAGTTTTGTGAGTGTAGAATAACAAATTTACATACTAATTTACGAGTTGCCATCTACAATCTCGGACATTCAAGAAAACATAACCTGTTTTTTTTTTTCTCAAAATTATATTTTCAAATCACACCAATTATTGTAATGATTGGTGGCATTTTTGAGCGGATATACATATATGCCTTTTTGTACAATCATCATGCTTAAATAATATTTAATGTGTTCATTGAAAGATATGTTAATTCAATTTTGTGAGTTTCCGAAGTGTAACTTTGATATGAAAGATATGGCATAAACAATACTTCAGTAGTTTGTTTGATGGCATGAACGCTGATTTATATAGCGACTTATTAATTATATCTTATATGCACTAAGCCTGCACTTATGCCCACGGCGAGTAGAAGCAAGACGCAAAAAACTGTTGCTTTCCCGACCCATGCGAATTAAGAGCACCCGCTGGATTTGCTCCACCAGAGGATGCCAGGCTGTTGGCGTAGTTGTAGCTCATGTGTGCGTAAGCGGGCATAGCCGGTGATATACTCTCGCTCCCAAATGCCGACCCATGGGACATTTGACTTGGACTGGACGTAGATGGACGAGACTCCATGCTCTGATGATGGGCAGCACTAATAGCAGTATTAGTGGTAGATGTTTCCAATACTGAAGCCGGAGCTGGTGGTGGTGGCGGCAAGCCATAAGCTGATAATGACTCGTATCCAGTTGAATTGGTACTAGCTGGATTGCTAATGTTCACTGTAGGGCTACTGCTGACATTGGTGCTCTCGTTTGTAGCGCCTCCTACGCAGACCAGCTGATGCGGCCCTAGGGGGGGCGGCCTTAATGGCATGTGGCACGGGTACATTGAGGACGGGGTCAGATCTCTTTGTTGAGCGATGCCCGGGCCAACAGTTTGGTGACTAAAGCTTGGCATGGAAGAAACCGCACTTGTAAAATTCAAATTTTAAAGCTATCCAATTTCCTTCAGATAAATTAACTTACCTATAACCCTCACTAATCGATAACGCACTATGATGCATGTTCGAGTACATAGCACTCATTGAGCTGCTAAACCCACTGTTGAAGTTGAGCCGCGGAGAAATGGACGGCACGAGCGTGTGAGGAACATGATGATGATGCTGATGTCGATGATCCGTAATCTCCAGCCCCGAAGCACATTCATTACCAACGTCATGCGTTCCACTTCGAATCTGTGCGCTTCCTCCTCCCCCACCAGCTGAGTGGTGTGCCTCAGATGCCTCAAGGCCACCAGTGGGTGTAGATATAGGGTGGGGCGATGACAAGCTGTTCAACCCACCTACAAATAAGAGAGTACAATCTTGACATAAGAAATTTTGCGTACTTATGAATTGAACTGGTCCTAGCACCCACTGACTCCTATTAATAAAATAAGAGACTGCTCAACTAAGAGATTCTCATACCCTGCGATGAGCTGGTATTGTAATTAACGCTTTTTTTATGCATTCATAAGAACAATCCATGCATCCACAAGCACGAATAATACGATCTGAATACTATAGCCAATCTTCCTTTATATGAATTATCTCTATTAATTTGTGTATTTGGAAAAGCAAAAGTTCAACAAGTCAAGTATTTGAAAAAATTATACGAGCTGAGACGATTTAATCCTGTCCATCTGTCTGTACATATTGACTCGCCGAGTTTTTTAAACCTTGAGCCCATTGAAATGGGAAAATGGGGTATAATGGTTTGCATAGTGCAAATACTTTGTAATTTACAGTATTTGGATTTGCTTTGTGTTCTAATAAACAATCGGCTGAACGGATACAAACTGTACAAAATCAATAGCGGAGAACTTACTTCCTGCTGATCCGACCAATAGGGCTGAGCAACCACCCAAACTATTGGGACTGTCAGTTAATGAAGTCGTAGCCGAAGTCGAGGTTGAAGTTCCACTTGTACCGGTGGAATTTGGGGTATGCCTCTGACTTCGCAATTTTTCCTCACGCCGCCACTTGGCACGTCGATTAGAAAACCACACCTGTATCCTTGCTTCAGGCAATCCTATTTTACCAGCCAAACGTTCACGAGCGAATACGTCCGGATAATGCGTTCTTTCAAACTCTGAAATAAATTAAGATTAATTATTTTTTTCATTTCGATTAAAAAAACTAGAAGATGTTATGAATGTACGTGTGCGCACGTATAGGAAAACTGCCGTAGCTGCTGCACGTGCGTTTGTTAATTGGCCAAACATTTTGTTATTTTTTAACG